AAGCTGCAGCAAGGGAGGTCTAGATTGGACATTAGGAAAAAGTTCCTAACTGTCAGGGTGGTTAAACACTGAAATAAATTGCCTAGGGAGGTTGTGGAATCTCCATCTCTGGAGATATTTAAGAGTAGGTTAGATAAATGTCTATCAGGGATGGTCTAGACAGTATTTGGTCCTGCCATGCGAGCAGGGGACTGGACTCGATGACCTCTCGAGGTCCCTTCCAGTCCTAGAATCTATGAATCTATGAATAAGTTGTAATATTTTAAATTATAAACGTGTTTTTATTAGTGTCCAAATAGTAACAGACCATTGTGGAAACTGAATAGCCCTTTTTGATTAGCACATTTGTGAGTACAATTTTAATTAAGATTTTGAGACTGCCAAAACTCAGTTCTAGAGAGCTTCGGGGAATGAAGGAACATGGATTTCTTTGGTTTAGCTTTCACTGGACTTTTTTCCTCCATTCCAGAAAGGTTGCTAATATCTCTGTAAGCAGTAGCACTAGCGCAGAAACGAGTTTTATTAAAAAAAAGTTCAGGTTTTAAAATTTGATAGATAAACAGCTATCTGCTGTGATGGTAACTGCATTACAAATAATTTGCAAAAGGGGAACCTTGCTATAGCTGTTCAAAGGTTATTTCCTCTTTAAAGCTTGGAAATACTTCTACTATTAAATTTATCTCCACTGTGTGTGATGCAACCGGTTAGTATGGTATGGAGTTAACTTGCCTTTATTTGAAGGATTGAATATTGCTTAATATGACACAGGGGGTAAGACTAGATGGATCAAACAGTCTGATCGAGATATGTCACTCAGATAACTCTTAATTGGGTATATTCGAGACCACTTCATGAGAAGCAAGAGTATAAATTGCAAATAGCATTTAAAAAAACAAAAACCTCTCATCACAGTCATTGTGAAGATTTTTTTTAAGAAACCCAATACCTTGGACCAAATCGGGCTCTATTGAATTGGCAAATGCTATTGACTTTAAAAGAGTTTCTCTGGGGTAACTAGAAAGCAGAACTTGGCCATCTGAAGTATACCAAGAAAAAGTTTATTGTTAAAATGATCTGGTTAACTCTGAATTCCAGGATCACCACACTGTTAACTGCTGATTTCCCATTTGAGCCGGCAATATGTGTTGGACTGCTTTTCTAAAAATTAACTATAGATCAGAGTGTTGGCAAGCCATCTCAGTCATGCAGCCCAGCTTGCAACAGTATTGTTGTGGGAATCTTTCTTACAGTAAATTTTTCTGGATTTAAGAAGTCTCGGATATATCCTCTTTTGAACTCTTTGCTGCAAACAAACTGCACAATTATGACTATAAATGGGATCCACTTACTGAGGAAACTTCATGCTGGCAGTTTGTTTTAGTCCACACCACTATTATGCTCTATTTAGTAATATCAACCACCTGTTAATCACTCTTTATCTGCTACCTTTACCACCTTGTTAGTGGTATTGGATAGTGCAAGACTTCATGGTGTCACTGTCCCCTCTTAAAAGCACTTCTGTTACCTTAGGCTCTTGACGTTCTCTCTTGGTGGGGGAGGGATAGCTCAGTGGTTTGAGCATTGGCCTGTTAAACCCAGGGTTGTGAGTTCAATCCTTGAGGGGGCCACTTAGGGATCTGGGGCAAAATCAGTACTTGGTCCTGCTAGTGAAGGCAGGGGGCTGGACTTGATGACCTTTCCAGCCTAGGAGATAGGATATCTCCATTAATTTAATTTTATTTATTTATTTACTGTGTGAGTTCAGTAAAACATTATTTAAAAACATGTCTTTAAAACATAAAATTCAGTATCTGAAGTGGAGAATTTATTAGTCTGATGAAGTGGGCATTCACCCATGAAAGCTTATGCTCCAATACATCTGTTAGTCTTAAAGGTGCCACAGGACTCTCTGTTGCTTTTTACAGATCCAGACTAACACGGCTACCCCTCTGATACTATATAGTTGTAATTATTGTAAACAAATCCTATATGTAACTGGGAAGGAATACAATACACAGATGAAAACGTTTCCTGTGGTATCCTACATAATAACAACTATCAGTCATCTAGTTCTGTAATGGTGGTGTTTAAAAATAAATAAATAAAAATAAAATAAAATTAATGGAGATATCCCATCTCCTAGAACTGGAAGGGACCTTGAAAGGTCATCGAGTCCAGCCCCCTGCCTTCACTAGCAGGACCAAGTACTGATTTTGCCCCAGATCCCTAAGTGGCCCCCTCAAGGATTGAACTCACAACCCTGGGTTTAGCAGGCCAATGCTCAAACCACTGAGCTATCCCTCCCCCCAATTATCAATTATTATCATCATAGTACCCATATCCCTCTCCCCAGTTATCATCAATTATTATCATCAGAGTACCTAGGAGCCCTAGTCATGGACCAGGACACTGTTGTGCTAGGTGCTGTACAAACAGACCACAAAAAGATGGTTCCTGCCCCAATGAGCCTACAATCTAAGCATAAGACAAGAGACAACAGTATCTTCTTCCGTATCTAAATAGCTTCATTTTATACTACAAACTAAACCTGTTTTCTCTCTGGATTTTTGTCTTATTAAACGCTTGTGTTCCCAATAACTTCCAGCTCTTGGGTGCTACAGCTATTGAAGACAAACTACAGGATGGTGTTCCAGAAACAATTTCCAAACTTGCAAAGGCGGACATTAAAATCTGGGTGCTTACTGGTGACAAAAAAGGTATATTTACAGTACTATAATAATAGCAGAAACATGAGATCTTATGGTTGGAAGCTGAAGCTAGACAAATTCAGGCTAGAAATAAAACTCAAATTCTCAACTGGGTAACTAATCACTGGAACAACTTCCGTAGGGATATCATGGATTCTTTGTCACTTGAAGTCTTTAAATCAAGACTGGATATATTTCTAAAAGATGTGAAATAGCTCAGATGGAAGTTCCGCTTAATGCTGAGTTTACTGAGATTGTATGGTCTGTGTTGTGCAGGAGGTCAGACTAGATGACCATCATGGCCTTAACCTATGAATTATTTTCAGAGAAAAATCTTTTTTTCCAAAATCTTGGAAATCTATATTTCCAAATGAGAAACTAATGTATGACAATTGGTTGCCAACTAATTAACTTGTCCAATCACAAGGGTAATTGATTGGAAAATAATGTTGATGACAGACATGACTTTAACAGAAGAATGAGTTGCTATTTCCATTATTAACTCCTGTTTCTATGGTTATAAAACCTGGCTGTTTCATGCAAGTGAATTTTGTCTTTTAAATTGCTGGGACAAAAAGGAAACTTTCTTCTTAAAGATGGTTTTGCAAAAGAGAATAAACCTTTAAGTGACTTGCCCATTATCACACAGGAACTTGGTGGTAGAATCAGGGATAGAATCCAATTCTCCAGGGTAATGTTCACCTGCCTTAACCATGAACCATCCTTACTCTTCCTGCAGTCTGTGCCTCATTTACTACACACCTTCCAACTTCTGCAAAAATGAAGCAGGGGTTCTTCAGATGAGTTTACTTAACTAGACAACCATAACTCAACCCCAGAGCAAGTCCATCCTGTACAGAGGTTCTGTGAACACAATAGTATGTGATCATGTAATGAGACTATCATAATGCATACACACCAGGAGGCTGATACACAGGCATTTTCTAACTTCTGACTACTTCATTTTAAAAGTGGATGTTCGTAAGGGTTTTTTTGTGCACGTGTGTGTAATTTCCTAGGTGTTAAAAAGGCAAACAAAAAACCAAATTCCATAATGTAGTATCATATTGACACTCACAGGCGTCGTCATTGAGGTTAGAACCAAGTTTACATCCACCACACAACACAGTTATAGTGGAGTAAATGAGGATAATAGTAGGTTCTCCTTAAGCTTGGAAGGATCAGATTTTTCTCAGGAAATATCAGTTGCACTATACAAACCAATGAAGAAATATTTCCATCGATGATCATTGAAATGTACAGATAAGCAAAGTAAGAAAAACACTTCTTGAGAACTTCTTAGAACTTGATTTAATATTAAAATTTAGACATATTGATGATGGCAGTTTGTGTTTTAATGGTTTTAAAACTAATTTAAAATGCTTAAAACCCATAATTTTGCACAACTGAAAAAATAAATAGATTAAAAACAAAAAAAGCTTAAAAATAAAAATCAAGGTTATCCATTGGAATTTTTTTTTAATCAAATTCTGCCAAACCTAGTTATCCTGTTTGTGGACCAGCATTAGAGAGGAATGAGATGCAAGCTGCTGCCCCATCCCCTCTGACTTGTCTCTATCCTTTCTTTTCCCCCACTCCTGGCTCCTTGTGCCATTCCCATTTTCCTTGACATCCGTGTCTCTATTCCTTAGGTGTCTTGTGCCACTTTTCTTGCCTAGCCAGTCCCAGTCTCTGGACTCACTGTCAGAGTCCCAGTGTCTCCCCCTCCCCACAATCAGTCCCAGTCTCATCAGACTCCTTGTTCCAATCTATGCCTTTCCCTCCCCCAGTCCACCTTTTGTTCCCTCTGCATTCAACTCAGACTGCTTCCTACTCTATGGTGCCTTGGTGCCAGCAGGGGCACCACTGAGAGCACAGGAGACACAGGCTCCCTGCTCTCAGTCCTAGTGCATGACTCCACCCCAGCTCGGAGCAGCCACTGAAGCAGTGGTCACCAACCGGTCGATTGTGATTGACTGGTCGATCTTAGAGGATCTCCCAGTCAATCGCAATCTCTGGTGGTGCAGTGTGGCTGCCACTAAGGCAGGCTCCCTGCCTACCTTGGCCCCATGCCACTCCCGGAAGCGGCCAGTGCAGCCCCAGAGCCGGGGGGGCAGGGGTCTCCCTCCACGTGCTGCTCCTGCCTGCAAGCACCTCCCCCGCAGTTCCCATTGGCTGGGAGAGCTGCGTGGGCAGTGCTTGCAGAGGGGCAGTGCGCGGAGCCACATGCCCCCCCGCTGACAGCACCCCATGCCCCCTCCTGCACCCCAAGCCCCATCCTGAGCCAGCACCCTGTACCCACTCCTGCACCCCAACACTCTGCCCCAGCCAGGAGCCCCCTCCTGCACCCAAACCTCCTCCCAGAGCCAGCACCCGGTACCCCCTCCTGCACCTCAACCCCCTGCCCCAGCTCAGCCCAGAGCCCCTTCCCACACTGTGAACCTCTCATCCCACAGCCCCTACCCCATCCCAAACTCCTACCCCAGCCCGGTGAAAGTGAGTGAGGGTGGGGGAGAGCAAGCGACAGAGCACGGGGGATGGAGTGAGCAAGGCGGGGCTTTGTGGAAGGGTCAAGGCCTAGGGGTATGGGCGGGGTAGATTCAGGTTTGCCCTTAGATTCAAAAAGTGATCTTGGGCATAAAAGGTTGGAGATCACTGCTCCCCAGAAGGTGACATCCCTCTTGCTGAGCTGCTAGGCTGGGAACTGCAGCCAATGGGAGCTGCGGGGGTGGTGCTTGCATGTGCAGGGGCTGCCTGAGCTACCCCTGAGCCAGGCGCACTGGCCGCTGCAGAAGTCACAGAAAGTCACGGATGACCTCTGTGACAAACTCGCAGCCTTAATAATGATTCATTAAAGAATCTTAGTAACGTGTGACTTTGTTACAGAAACTGCTGAAAACATTGGATTTTCTTGTGAACTTTTAACAGATGAAACTACAATCTGCTATGGAGAGGATATCAGGCAAGTTACAAGCATACACAATTCTTTGTGTAGGAGTTTAAAATCTCAAATTTCAAAATATTCAAAGTAACCACACTGTTCCTGTGGCTTGCTTTCTTTATCTGGCTATCTCCTTTGATTCCTCCTATATGGTGTTTACAATGCTTTAACAGTGTAACTGAAACGCAGGCTGTGTCTACTCTACGAGCTGGAGGTGTGATTCCCCTGCTCACGTATGCATAATTGTGCTAGCCCCTATCGAGCCAGTGTGAGTGCAAATAACAGTATAGCCATGGTAGAGGGGGTAGAGGCAGTGGAGGCACAGCTGAGCCATGCAGAATACATACCCTATCAAGCTAGCGCAAGTATGTGTACATCAGCAAGGGGAATCACACCCCTATTTTGTAGCACAGATGTAGCCACAGTAGTGGCCAATATTCAGTTATGCTGTGGTTTGTGGATTTTATTTATTTATTTATGTATTTTTACTATTTTGCATAGTAGTTTACCAAGGCAACCTACTCATTGTTAGGACCCTACCAATTTAGTGGCCATGAAAAATGTGTCACGGACCATGAAATCTGGTCTTTAGGGTGGTTTTACCCTATACTATACAGATTTCACGAGGGAGACCAGTGTTTCTCAAACTGGGGATCCTGACCCAAAAGAGGGTTGTGGGGGAGGTCATAAGGTTATTTTAGGGGGGGTCACAGTATTGCCACCCTTACCTCTGGGCTGCCTTCAGAGCTGGGCAGCCAGAGGGCAGCAGTTGTTGGTCAGGCGCCCAGCTCTGAAGGCAGCACCCGCGAGCAGCAGTGCAGAAGTAAGGGTGACAATATCATACCATGTCATCGTTACTTCTGCACTGCTGCTACCTTCAGAGCTGGGCTCCTAGCCACCAGCTGCTGCTCTCTAGCCGCCCAGCTCTGAAGGCAGTGCTGCCTCCAGCAGCAGCGCAGAAGTAAGGGTAGCAGTATCGCAACCCCCCTACAATAACCTTGTGACCCCCGCCCTCCCCCACAACTCCATTTTGGGTCAGGACCCCTACAATTACAACACCATGAAATTTCAGATTTAAATGGCTGAAATCATGAAATTTATTATTTTTTTAATCCTATGACCGTGAAATTGACCAAAATGGACTGTGAATTAGGTAAGGCCCTACTCATTGTGGATCAGGCAGAAACATGTCTTTTAAAAACAGTGGAGGTAATAAGCCAACCATTGTTGACTTGATGCTACCACAATAACTAAATAACTCAGTTCAGCACCTTGTATAAGTACTTCACTAAGTTAGGACAACAGATGCTTACATAGCACCTTTCACCCAGAAAGATCCTAACATACTTTACAGATTGTTGAAGCTATCGATAGTTAAGACATACAATATCAACTTTATCCACCACTGTAATACAGTAACCTCTAGGATGAAAATATAGCAGCTGTTTCAGAGAAATAGCAATACAACACAACATTTTACAGTAGAAATTGAAGATTTTTTTTCCCCTAAACAAATTTTACAAGAATGGGGAAACTTAAGATATCAAGTTATAATCACCTAGCTGCAATACTGCAACTAATGCTCTTGCTTTTATAAAAAGTGCCATGCAATTTTTAATAACCATAAGAGGCCAGGATTTTCCCTTTTCATTTAATTTGAAAGACATTATCAGTATCAGGGGAATGCAATTTACCCTTTGTGTTAGGGCTTTGGAGCAATACTGACTCAGAACGCTACCCACAGAGTTGTTAACCACTTCTTACATCATATGCTGTATGCCTTTCTTGCAGATCTCCCATCCAAGTACTGAGCAGTTCACACTTAGCTTGGTTTGAAGTCTACCTTTAGATTTCCCATAGATAGGGCCCACTACAATAGTAACTATAAAAATAAGTCAGTATTTGTAGTTTTTAGATGACCTACATTAAAACTCTTCATTCATTTTCCAGTGCTCTTCTTCAAACAAGGTTGGAAAATCAGAATAACAAAGCTGAATCAAATATAAACTCCTCTCAAAGAACGAATGAGCCATTCTTTCAATCTGGTAGAAATCGTGCTTTAATAATCACTGGTTCCTGGCTGGTATGTATAAAGCAGACTCTTCCATTACTTCAATTTGGGGAGTTTTCTGGGATACATAATAGGTCAAAGGCTAATAGTGCTGTAAATTGGAATCCTATGTTTCTTATCGTTAACTACTCCTTCATTCACTTGATTGCTGCCCTGAGGCACCCAATGAAAGATATTTAACCTCTCTGCCTCAGTTTCCTCCATCTATAAAATGCCAAACTGTAAAACTAGTCTTTGAAAATATCATAGATAAAGCAATAAAATATCTCTCATTTATCAACGTTAACCATCAAAGCAAAAAAGAATCTCCTGTAAAAAGAACAATCTAATGTTAGAATTATTCGTAATCAGGGGACTCTGAAAGTCAAGTGCTAAAGAACCAGAAAGATGCAAAATTAGATCTTTCAAGCCCCGACATGCTCTGAACAGACAGCAGTCATTACTTCATGGTTGAAATACAGGAGGTCCCCAGTATACGTCTCCCCCTTATCTGTTGTTTCGCATATCTGTCGCTCGTCAGTAGGGGAACATGTTCCAATTCACATCGGGCCCAATCTGCATATCCGTCATTTGCAGTACTTTACTGTAAGTTGCAAATGAGGGATATGCGGACCGACATGAATTGGAACACGTTCCCCTATTGATGAGCGACAGATATGCATAGCCACAAGTGGGCTGTGGCCCACCCACTTAACATCCAGGCCCACACCCGCAATACCGGCTCTGCTCCCGCTCCAATGCTTGCTCCACACCACCCACCCGGTGCTTCAGCTGGGGAGTGGGGTCAGGGTGCAGGCCTTGCCCTACTCCGCTTGCCTAGAACTCCAGCAATGGAGCGGCATTGGGGGCTTGCCCCACTCCGCTCGCACAGCCCTCCTGCCAGGAAGTGGGGTTGGCGAGTGGGGGCTTCCAAGCCCCCGACCCCTGCTCCCTGGCTGGGGCGCTGGAGCAGGGCCAGCCCCTGTGTCCCAACACAGCTCCCCAGCTTGAACTCTGGAGTGGGGCAAGCCCCTGCACCCCAACCCCGCTCGCTGGCAGAAGCCCCAGCTGGAGCAGGACAAGCCCCTGACACCATCCCTGGCAGGAGCACCAGGATCCCCTGCCAGGTGGAGCAGGACAAGTCCCCGTTCCTGATCCCCTGCCAGACATAGCAGGATAAGCCCTCGCGCCCTGATCCCACTCCCCAGCAGGAGCCTGGGGGGCGGCAGGGCGGACCATGTGGGAGTGCAGGGGGCACACATTTTTCTGGGAGCCCCTGGCCAGCGCATTTATCATTTTTGTTCTTCCTCCCACCCCAAAGGCTGGCTGGAGGGGGAGAGAGGCCGCCAGATCACTCCTATCCCTCAGCCCCCCCGTCATTACCCGCACACCCTGGCACCCACCCAAGTGTCCCCTCCTGTCTACGCCACTGCTGTACCAGCAGGTCCCCGATATATGTCGTTTTGGTATTCGTGGCCCTTTTCAAGAACACAACCCCACGTATACTGGGGACTCCCTGTAAGAGGGTATGTCTGAGAGCAAAAGTGTGAACCAAGTGTCAGAAATAAAAGGAAGCAGGCTCATATGGTACCTTGTACTATGGTCTGATGTTTTAAGAGTTCAGAAAACACTGAAGGACTTTCAGTAAAGAAGTGACCTGGTTGGCAATCCAAGTATTGATGAGAATCCTACTGGCAGAATTCTATACAAACCAGAGTGAGAGGAGATAGATCAGCAAATAACAAATCTAAAACTATTCAGCTTAGACGTGACCATTAATCCATGTATAAGTCTGTGCCTCAACTGGATAACCCATAAATCAAAACCCAAAGATCATACCTGAAATGATGAGCTTCACTGTCTTGCTAATATTAGGCTTCAGAGGGAGCTCAGAATTTTTAATAACTTCACCAGTACAAATCACGGCATTTGACAATGACAGCTTGGTGTTCCAGGTGATCACACTTTCCTTTTTTTTTTTTTTTTTTTTCAAAAATCCTTAATATCACAGAAACTAATATTATTCTTCAAAATGAATTAGCTGAAGATAGAAAAAGGATTTTTTCCATTAATTTCTGCAAGAAGTATTACAATAGAATAAGTTGTACAAAAACCTACCACATTCACTGTCCCCTTTTCTTCAGGGAAGTTTCATTGGGATGGTATTACAGAAGTGCACATAATGTAGATGAGAGTCAAGGTATTTCAGACTTTAAAAATGTTATGAGAGCAGTCCTTAGAACACTCTAGCTTTAAATAGCGAAGAAGGGACAATAATTACTTTCTCTTTGGTTATCCAGAATGAAATCCTTTTAGAGAAGAAAAAGAAGAAGAAGAAACTTCTAAAACTGAAATTTCCCAAAACAGCAGAAGAGAAAGAAAAGCAAATTCAGAGTAAAAGGAGAGCTGATGCTAACAAAGAACAGCAACAAAGAAACTTTGTAGACTTAGCATGCGAGTGCAGTGCAGTGATCTGCTGCCGCGTAACTCCCAAGCAGAAGGCCATGGTGGTGGAGCTGGTGAAGAAATATAAGAAAGCTATAACTTTGGCTATAGGGGATGGTGCCAACGATGTAAACATGATTAAAAGTAAGTCATCTATAAAATTTCACTGGCTATTTGGTTTTGGTTTTGAAGGTCTTACATCACTGTATTAGAAAGTGCTATTTTCCCTGAGTTCAGACAATCTTTTTTAACAATTGAAGTAGCTGTTTAGATACATAAAGAATAATTTGGGTCCGGAGAAATTTACAGTAGAGAATGGGAATTGTTAAATGACTGTATAAGCTGGAGTGTTATTGTGCATCTTCATTTGTTGAATAATATATCTTGTTTTAATAAACCTTGCTTATTCTATGTGGGACTCTTTTATTTATTTATTTGTTTGTTTGTTTTATTTAACGTAGCTGCTCATATTGGTGTTGGAATTAGTGGACAAGAAGGCATGCAAGCAGTCATGTCAAGTGACTATTCTTTTGGACAATTCAGATACCTGCAAAGATTACTATTAGTTCATGGCCGATGGTCCTATATAAGGATGTGCAAGTTCCTACGATATTTCTTCTACAAAAACTTTGCATTTACGCTAGTACACTTCTGGTACTCATTCTTCAATGGCTATTCTGCCCAGGTAAGAGAAGTGCTTTTCTAATATGAACTAGAAAAACTTATTTTTTGCCAAAACAAAATAATGGAGACCAACTTATTAAGTGATGATGTAATTTAAGTGAACAGCATGAAAGGAAGCAGCCTTTGCAGGTTCATGTTAGAGCCTTTCATATCATTGTGGTGGAATTCATACTTATTCTATTACTCATGCCTTGGAAAGACTTTAATCGCCAGCTATAGTGCTATTGGTATCTTAATCTTCGCTAATTTAACTGTTTTCTGATCAATGTAGTTTATCATGTGTGCAGAAAAAAATAAGGGTATAGTAAATAATAAGAATTCCATGTACAGTTGGCTATTACAGCATAAAGCTTGAAATCAGTAGCGTGACTGAACTATGAACATTGTTTCTCTCCCACCACCTCATCTGGTAATCTGTCTCTCACTTCAGTTATTTGTGAAGTATCCCATCCCCTCGACCCTCTTCAAAAGGCCTGGAACTTGGGCTTTGCAAGTTTTATCTAATAAGATACTCCGTTGTTTTTGTCCCAGACTCTAGAGAATTTTGGTTCTATTTTTCTAAACAATAAATAGCTTGGGGGTGCATGTTATTAGCCAGAACTGTTGAAAAAGCTATTACTGTGGAACATTCCATTGCCTTCCATTTTGATACAATTATCTCTTCATTTATCAGCATTGCTACTTAGACATATATATGCCTGGGGGTAGTGAGGTAAAATTAAAGTAATTTTCCGTCCTGAGTTGTCACCTGAAATAAGTAAAATATCCTTTGAGTTTAGCATAAATCATACAGTTGAAAGCACAAATACAAGACTATTATTTGTGTATTATTTGCACTAATTTGTGTTGCACTAATCTGTATATATTAAGACAAGGTCCCTACCCCAAAAAGCTTACAAGGGAAGATCACAGCCCGCAAGCTCCTCTTCCCAAGTGGACCAACTTGTAGAATCAGGGATTTAATCAGGCAAGTAGTTCCATGAGGTCAGTACTGCTATTTGCATGAGTGAGGGTCTGAGGATCTGCCCCTAATAGGCATCATACTGAGGTAGGAGGGAATGGAGTACAACAGTCATTGAGTACACCAGTCTTCTTATTAGCACATTTATTTTTCAGTTGTGTTAACCTTCTCAAACACTTTATGCTAAGTATCTATATCGTGTCAAGCTGTGGTAAACTCTCACAACAGTAAGCTCATGTATATGGGGGGGAAACTTAGCAACACTCTCTCTCATTCTTACTTCTGTGTGCATATGTATATGCATTCTTTTTACTGTTGGGAACTTAGTTTAGGGAGCTCATCCACCTGCTAATGTTTTCCTACTAGTCATATTCATAGAAGCCACATGCAAACTAACAAAATGGAGATAGTGACTTCTGTGGGAAATAAGATGGAGAGAAAATGACTGTAGCACAGAACATTAACTTAATGTGGGGAAGAAATAGGGAACAGCAAGAGAATTCCCCAAACCAAATATCTGTTTTTCTTGGAGTTATTGTCACCATGAGTGCTCCATGGTAGGACGTGCATGCGCTCGTGCACTCTTGATCAGAGATTTTAGTCAGCAGTGCAAACGAGTTTGTGCCTGCACTCTGTACATCCTTATGCCAATGCAAAGGTAAGTAGTGAGTGGTGGAACCTGCTACTGCTCCAGTTTCTTCTCAACCACCCTCGGTTCGAGATAGGGATTGCAGTGTCCACTACTTGTTTTCAGCTTCCTCAGTATTTTATGAGATTCCTTTTTGTTTTATTTTTATTTTACTTGTTTTATTTAGTTTTAGCAGAGATTTGTGCTTTTGGGAGGGTTCCCCCTATTCTTCCTTGGGGCAGCCAGGCTCTTCTACCCTTAGCCATTGTTGTCTGTGGCTTCCCTGCTTGGGTTATGCTAAAGAACCCAGGTTTCAAACCCTTCCAGACCTCCCACAAGTGTTTCCCCCCATCAGCAATGTGGATTCCAGTGGCCTCTGACACTCTCGGATCCAGCAAGGTCTGTACCAGGTTTAAAAGCAGATCTCGAAAGCGGAGGCAAGATAGATGGGAGCACTCCTTGAGGCCCGTGGGTCAGACAACAGAGTGGCAATGTACTATACAAATCATCATGGGGGAGCAAGATCCCAATCCTTATGTGCAGAATCACTGAGACTGTGGAAATGGTGCATTGTCCCACTGCATAGATATCTCAATGGTCTACCTGCTGGGTCTGTAAAACATAGTAGCAGAGTCCCTGAGCAGGCACTTCCACCAGAACAATGAGTGGGAACTCAGCAACTTGGTCTTTCAAAGCATTTGCCAGTCTTGAGGTCTCCTGGAGGTGGATTTGTTTGCAACACCATCCATCTTGTATGCCTATCCTCCAACACCATTGAGCCTCAAGGCTCTAAGCAAATTGAAGCAAGACCAGGCAGTAGCTGTCCTGATAGTACTATCCTGGCCAAGGCAAGTGTGGTTCCCAGATATGCTTGGTCTGTCTCTGTGAACCCCTCTTTGCCTTTCTTTCTCAATGGATCTCACACAAGACTCCGGCACCATAACCCACCCAAGTCTCTCATGCCTGCATCTCAAGGCCTGACTCCTTGATGGTTCTTGGGAATAAAATTGGTCTCCTCTCCTGAAGTTCACTCTGTACTCCTGAGCAGCAGGAAACCAGCCACAAAGAAAACCTGCAGAAATGGAGGTGCTTCCAAGTCTGGAGTGCCCATTGATTTTTATATTTGCTTCTGAATCTCTCCTTACAGACATTCTTGATTACCTGTGGATTTAAAAACACCTGGGTTGTCACTGATCTCCATTAGGCTTCACCTGGCTGTGAAAGGTTTATTTTGGCCTTTGCTAGTGTGACTGATTTATGTTACCAATTTGCCTGGGGCTTTAGGTAATTAGGCTGAGGCCGCAGGATTTTTAGGGGAGGAGATGAAGGAGCACATCAAGTGACTAGGTTTAAAGCTTTATTAATAAAATAATAGCGGTGAGTGCTGGGTGCTTTTTATGTTACTTAAAGGAAGGAAGAAAGCGTTAGTGCCCGAGCCCTAACCCATTTTTATACTTACACATGTATAATTTAAGGCTGGGCCAAGCTTGGATGTAACGTAAGAAGAGGGGGAAGGATAGATGAGTTTTTTGTTTTGTGCATAGGCCGTTTAGGGTTTGCTGTTGATTTTTGTTTTGCTTTAGCTTTTGGGAGGGTTCTAAGCCCTGGGTTTTTTTGAGGGCGTTTTTGTTTAGGGATTTTTGGATTTTGTGCTTTCTGTACTAGTTTGAACCAGCCTTTTGCGGCTTTTTTAGGTTTTTTAAAATCTATTGGCTTTAGGGTTGCGAGACTGTTGTTTTTTTAATTTATTGGCTTTTGCCATTTTTTTTTAGGTTTGTTTGGTTTAGTCTTTATATTTACACCTTTAACCCCTTTTAAAAAAAATTTATGCATATATAGGCATTAGCAATATACCATGCTGGTACTTACCCAGGGGATACCAGGGGGGCAATTTCACTGTGATTGTGACATTTTCCCCCTTGACCCTGAATTAACCTTTCGTTGTGAGGGGTTACTATTCAGGTATTTAGTCTGGCAAGTGTTACCGTTGGCCTTATACACACGCAGCAATATAGCAAAAAAAAATTATTAGAGCAGCAATAGTTGCATACACCAGCCAGTAGTGGCTTTTGTGTTATTGGTAACATAGCAGAACATATTTTTTTGTTGACATAGATGCCCTATTTGAATGGCGGTGGCATTTTGGAAAAGGGCCAATTTTTTTTTTAAGAATGGCTGCAAAGAAACCAAGAATTTTTTGTATATGTTTATAAAGTTTAACTGTTTAATTTTTTTTAGCTTTTGCAGAGTTAATTTTTAGCCTGATTTGCCAGGATTTTTTTTTTTTCATTTTTGAAGCGCCATTTTTACTATTTTTAGCTGGCTTTGTGTATTTGTAGCAAGCACTTTTTTAAATGGTTTGCTTTTTTGTTTTTGTTTGGTTTAGGTTTTTTTGTAGAGATGCTTTTTTTTTTTTCCGGAGGCGGAGATAAGAATTATTACATGCCTCTCATAACAACCAAATTGCTGCTGCGTTTTTTTTGGCAGCACTAAAGGGTTTGTATATTAGAATATATCGAGACAATTTATTTTCTAGGTTTGAAATGGTGCAGACATTAGCTAAGGCTTGTTTAGTTCAAAGACTGTGCACAAATTTTTGAAGGATTTGTTTAAAAAGAGTGGAGTGTTTTTGTCAAAAGGTGAGGTTGGGGCTACCTTTAGTTCTACTCCCCCTTTAGGCAAAAGCTTACCCTGCCTTTTTTTTTTTTAACATTTTTTTCAAACTTTTTTGTTACATTTGACACAGGTTAGTGAGTAACACAGCCTGGATTCTGAAAGCATAGCTTAATAATATTTACCTTTGCCTATATATATTTTTAAGACCAGGAGGTTGACAAACTCCTATATTCTTTAGAGTTTGGTTTAACAGAGCAAGATTTGTTTAAAAGGAGTAATTTTTGAACAAAGTATTGTTTTTGGATTCTTTTTTTTTTTTAATAACATTTTTTTATACAGGTGCTACCACTATTTGCCCATATGTTTATATTTTTTAGAGTTGTGTCTTATATAGAAAATACCACCTGAACATGCTGTGACTGCCCAATCCACTGGATAGCCGTTCTTAAGGACCTATTCATTGTGGACATTTGCAGGGCAGCAGCCTGGTCCTCCATTCACAGGTTCACCAGGCACTTGCTATCCTACCAGCTTTCAGAGCAGATAGTCTTTGGTGACACTGTCCTCAGAATTGTGTTGGATCCGCCTTCTCAGCACCTGTCTCCACACTCTCCAACAATGTAGCACCTATACGGACAATAACTCAAAGGAGAGGTTGCTTATCTGTACAGTAATTTGAGTTCTTTGAGATGTTTTGTCCCTGTGAGTGCTCTGCTGCAGTCTTCTGGGCTTCGTAGTTGAGAAGGAACTGGAGCAACAGCAGGATGGTTCTCTCCCTATGTGCCCTTGCACCAGAGCCCAAGAAAGTATAGTGTGCTGGCATGGCCCCGTGGAAACTGCTGACTAAACACTCCTATCAAGAGTGTACGGGTGTGCACACTTCGTATGGTAGGGCACCCATAGGGATAAAACATCTTGAAGAACTCAAGTTACTGTACAGGTAAGTAACCGCTCAGTTTTCATGCAGATGTTCTGAGGAATAAAAATAAACACTGTAAACAAAACTAATAAAATAGTATATTTTTTAGTTTTTTCCTGGAGCTGGTCAAAAATTTTCTCACTAACATTTTCCCACAGAAAATATTAGTGGGAACATGTCTATGTTGACAAAAGGTGTTGTTTTTTTAAAATCAAAACAAAGGGCAAAACATTTTGACCCAATCCAAATGCTTTGTTTTAATTTCCCCCTACCCCAATTTTATATTAAATTTAAGGCTGAACTTGAAACTAAACGTTTTGATTGGCCCCAAATGAAACTTGTTCAGAGACTTCTTTTCAGGGAGAATTTCTAAAGTTGGACTCTTTGTTCTGATTCAGGACAACAATAACAAAAATGTACAAATGTCAGAATTTCCTATGGAATTGAAACGGAGTTTCCACTAGTTTTAATTACATCTGTAAGGTATCAGTTCTTAATGTGATCACTGCTGGTATAGTACACTTGTGGTCAAAATCTGTTCTCAGATCAACTTGTGTAACTGTTGCTGACCAGTGGAAGTTGAATGTATGTAGCTAGGGAACAAATTCTGTCCTTTTAATGGTCACCTGTATATTATGCTGCTTTAGTAAAAAGGGTGTGTATTTTAACACACATGCTCAAAGAACTATTTCAAGACCCTAGAGGCCTGGTGGGTTAATGCACATTAACTTTAAACCCACAAAACCTGGCAATTCAATCAGTTTTCTTAATATTCTTGTTTAGATTAGATTGTTTCTGAATTAACTTTTTAAATGAAAATGATGCAACTAAATATAAAGTAATATCTAATTAATAAATTGATATTTATTTTCTATTGCAGACCGCTTATGAAGATTGGTTTATCACGCTTTACAACGTGTTATATTCCAGTCTTCCAGTTCTTCTGGTTGGCTTGCTTGACCAGGTATACTACTATGCTATTAAGAAAAAAAATTCCAAATGAATTTTAGAAGCAATTGTTAAAGAAAAAGATCAGAGTAAACATAATTGAAGTAACTTTTACTTCTAATCTGTGACATTTTTAGGTTGCTAGATATCCTATTTATTAGAGGACAATAAGGCGTGACCTGCTAGACTAGACAAAGCTAACCAACTTCAAATACGTTCAGAGTTGAATTGATCTGCTCAAATGTTTGTAGGTCTTAGCAGACAGCTTTTCTCCATGAAGCTAATTGAAAATGTTGTAGGTATCTTTTCATTAATAACTAGAAATACCTGACATAACAATTGCTGTGACTTTCTGTTCAGTCACTTGCTAGAGGGCAGGTCCCATTAATCCCATTGGTAGTATTAACGCATAACTTAATTGAAAGGAATACATCTCCATAAGTGTAGATTAGAATTGGATGGTGATAGCTTTCTTCACAATGGCCTGATTCAGCAAAACAGTTCAGCACATAATTCCAACTGACTTCAACAGAACTGAAGTACATGGTTAAAGTTAGCCATATATTTAAGTGCTTTGCTGAATCAGGGCCAATATGTATGTACAGTACTGTAGAATGACATTAATGGGGTTGATTATGAAGTATACTTGCATTATTTATCTTCGATTATAGTGTTAGAAGGTATTTCTATTTTTAAAACCATTTTCAATGGGAATAAATTTGGCAAAAAAAAATTATGCTGAAAACTGCAATATTTTATTTTTAATCTGAATGGGTCTTAGATTTTATTTTAGATTTGCTTGATTTTTCCAAATTTGGCTTGTCTATAGATTTTGCATGCATAGAAATGCTGTGCATTTTTATGGTGGGGGGGAGGTGTAGAAGAAAAGAAATTTCAATAAATTCATGCAGTATGTATGCGTTAGAGATTTAAAAAAGAAAAAGGCAAGGAAATTGAGTTGCATTTCCCACAAAAATGTGCTAGCACTACCTTTTTGCATTTATATATTATAATAGACTCTTTCCATTATGCTGGGCATTTTTGCACACTATTATGGAAATATTTACACATAGGTGTGAATGGAAGATATAGAAATGGTAAATCATTTGAGTGATGGAAGGAAAAATGTACCATATTCTTAGATCTTCATATTCAATATTCATATTGAATAAATATAAAGTCTAGGTTTTGGTGGCATTTCTTCCTTTCATTTCTATACCAACACACTGCTAATCTAGAGTCTCTGTCCATTTTCTAACAATTTAAAAATATAGCTTGCATTCATATATGCATATATGAATTCAAGTTCTGTATTTTTTTTTAAGCTTCAGATTTTTATCACTTTTGGGATTAATACGGAGGTAATCTGTTGGCTTGTCTTGCTTAACTCCCCTATCCTCCCACCCTAAAGCTAAATGTTGATGGGGGAAGAGTTATACAGTGCTTCAGGCTCTATGGCACCGATTTATTTCTAACTGCTGTAACTTTTCTTTTATTAAGGATGTGAGTGACAAACTTAGTCTTCGGTTCCCTGGTTTGTATATATCTGGACAGCAAGACTTGCTTTTTAACTACAAGAAATTCTTTGTAAGCTTAATACATGGAATTATAACATCACTGATTATTTTCTTCATACCGTACGGAGCTTATCTTCAAACCATGGGGCAAGATGGAGAGGCACCTTCAGACTACCAATCATTTGCTGTCACTGCAGCCTCTTCTCTCATAGTTGCAGTCAATTTTCAGGCAAGTACATTTATCTTCATGATCTCCCCTGCTGCTCTGAAAGCACATCTTTGTGAGAATAAACACTTAATTATCATTCAGTTTAAATCTTTTTGCATATTGATATACTTTTGCCTGGTTACTATCTTCCTCTCTGGTATATTCACAGAATATTCTATATTGTATTAAAACTATATAATAAATAGTGTGACCCAAGAATCTGCATAACAGATAGTTTGCAGAATATTCAATTACATGCTTCTGACTTCTACATCAGAAATTCATTGTGAGTTATCTGATTTACTTTCAGATGGGTTTGGATACCTCTTACTGGACTTTCGTTAATGCTTTCTCAATATTTGGGAGTATTGCACTTTACTTTGGTATCATGTTCGACCTTCACAGTGCTGGAATACATGTTCTCTTCCCATCTAGCTTTCAGTTTACAGGTCAGTGTTTTGTTTTGTATTCTTGCGTTCTACCTCAAATGGTTATGTAACTAGAGTAAACACAGTATCAAAATATCAGTTTATCAGATGTGATTTGATGCCCAGTAAGTAGAGGTGAATGTTAACTCACTTTAGAAAAACATTGCCTAGTTTATACGGGGTCAACATGTGTGTCTTAATCAAAATGGTTTTGTTGAAGTAACTACCTGTGTTGTGCAGTGTAGGGTGTTGCGTACAAAGGAACAAAGTAAAAAGTGATCTGCAGCACAGAGTAAAGGGAAACCTGTGATCCTACATTGAAGGCTGCTCTGTGGCTGCCAAGTTACTCCTGCACATCAGTGGGTGTAAGGTTCAAAGGTGAATCTAAGTTGCCTACTCATGCAATTGTATCACATCTCATGACATTTGATGTTTCCTATAACTTTAGCTATAATTTAAAAAAGAACATATGATTCTCAAGCAAATTTTTCTAGGCTTCTTTGCTGTGAAAAGGCTTGCAAATGTAACCCAACTGCACCCTAAAGGATCAAAAACTAGAAGGCAAATAAAAAGAATTCCAAACTTTTTATTTCTAAAAAGGTCTCAAGATTTTGGGGGGCCTGACTCCAAATTTGTAACTGGTTTGGGTTGGTAATACTTTAAGTGCCTTATGTGCTTACTGAACATGCTTGAGATTACCTTTTTTTGCCCATTGTCCTTCACCCTTCCCGCCTTTTTAATTTGTGACCTGGGTAAGTGAGTGGATGTGCAATGGGCTTTAGACTTATCTTCCCAAAGACTGTCAGGTGCCGAAACTTACTTGAAACCATATCATATTTCAAGTATCAGAGGGGTAGCTGTGTTAGTCTGGATCTGTAAAAAGCAACAGAGAGTCCTGTGGCTCCTTATCCAATACATCTGTTAGTCTATAAGGTGCCACAGGACTCTTTGTTGCTTTTTACATATCATATTTGTGCATAACAAATTTCCTGCTGCATACTGGTTTCAGTTGTGACTACATCCCTGTGCAAATTACTTTCAGTTCGATATCAAAATCAATCTGAGAAAAATCCTGTGTTGCTTCCTGTACAACATAGTCATGATCTTCATCCTCTGCTTTTTAAAAGTGCTTCAGATTTTAGAATTTGTTCTCTCTGGTTGCTTAAATTAAACATTAAGTTTGAACTGCACTACGCTGTATGTATATTACAATGATCCTAGAGGTTTCTCTTAATCACAGTTTTTGCCCATTAAAAGTAATAAAAAAAACCACATGTGCCAGCCACATACTTGTTCTCACCCTAACTTATCCCTTAAAGAGTTTTATAAGTTAATACATTGAAAAGGAAATACAAATGTTGTTATAAATTTGTAGCACATTTGCTGGGCTCTCTCCTTACCTCAAACTTTTTCTTGGTAGTGGCTTATTTTAGATTTTGATACGGTTATATTCAAACACATTTGGAATACTTCAATTATACATTTCAGGGCAGGAAACATGAATTTAATTTGTTGTGCTGTATAAATTTAATTGAAAACAGATACAGACTAACTTTCACTCTTACTTTTCCCAGGGACTGCTCCAAATGCTCTAAGACAGCCATATCTCTGGTTGACAATACTTTTGTCAGTTGCAATTTGTTTGCTTCCTGTTGTTGCACTAAGATTTTTGTCAATGACAATTTGGCCTTCAGAAAGTGATAAAGTAAGTAGAAAAATTTGGTTATTTGAACTGTATTTAGTTATATAAGTCAATAATATTCTTAATGTTCAGAAAATAAGGTTTTGCCAAAAGCTGTGAATGGACGACAGGGGATGGATCACTTGATGATTACCTGTTCTGTTCATTCCCTCTGGGGCACCTGGCATTGACCACTGTCGGAAGACAGGATACTGGGCTTGATGGACCTTTGATTGACCCAGTATGGCTGTTCTTATGTTCTATAAGGATAATTTAATTAGGATTGTGCATCTGACTTCCTCATGAGCCTGAATACACCCTAAAATGGCAACTTAGGGGTTCTCTTTTAAATCCTAACCAAACTGGCAGTTTGGGAACCTTGCTAGAGATTGGTGCTCTGTTGCTTTGCCACTGCAATGGAGCAAAGAGTGTCAGTGCCTTGAGATGGTCTTCTCAATACTCTCCCACTAAGTCTGTTTCTGCCTCTGTCTGATCTGCTGTCTTCCTCAGTAAGTGCTGGCCCACATGTATTTCCTTCTGCCACCTCTACCTCACCTGCTGACATTTCTCTCTTTTCCTTTCTTTAACTTCTTATTCTCTCCTTCCTCTTCTCTTTGTTCTGTAGGGTAGAAGAGTGAAGATCTTCCCTCCCAAACAGTATGCCCCTTTTCTCCATATCTCTCAATGGTGGGGAGTGACTGAAAGAAAAGAGACACACACACACACACACACACACACACAGACTGACAGTGTGGTGAGTCAGTAGGGAAAGTGGAAGATCAGACAACAGACCTGCGCCAAGAAAGCTGCATCAAGAAGGAGATAAAGCCCTATCACAGCAATGGAGTCCATAGTGCAAATGGCTCTGTTTGAGGGGCTTGATTTTTGGTATCTCAGCTGGCTCTCTCAAGCCAGAGAGTTGAGCAATTCCAGAGTGCTTCAGGTTTAACAGATAAAGCACAAAAATACCTGGTACCATTTGCGGTGGGTGATGCTGCTGAAGACATCCATGTACCTCACCCCCTCACTGATGAGGAAAAGAGAGACTACACAAAAGTGAAAGAGGCTTTTGTCGGCCATTTCGTAGACAGACAGACTATTACATATGAAAGGGCCAAATTTAATAGGAGGTTCCAGGAACAAAGAGAAACAACTGTGATTTTCATTACTGTATTTCGTAGGCATGCTGAACATTGCAAATACAAAGCATTAAAAGAATAACAAATAGGAGACAGGATAGTTGTTGGCATAAAATAATTCAGTTTATGAGCACAGCTTCAGTAGATCCAAATGTCACACTAGCAAAAGTGAGAATACAAGAAACCATAAAGAAACAGCATTATAATTTATATGCTAGCAGCATATGGGAGACTGCATCAGACAATATTGATATAGTAAAGAGGAAAGACATAAATTAGAAAATAAGAACAGGGCACAACTAGAGAGCGAGAGACCAAAGAACCTTAATAGGAGGGAAACTTGGAAAAGCTGTGGAAGATGCAGCAAGACACATGCCACAGCCGTCAACAATGTCCAGCCAAAGAGACGATGTAGGAGATGCCAGAAAATGGGACTTCCTGCAGGTCACAAGCTAAGAGGGAGTGTTATCAGACAAGCCCGTACTTTTAGAGGCTATATTCTCAATAGAATAGAGAACACCTTGGTACGCAAGCAGGCATCAAAATAGATTAAACCTTTAATTTAAAACTGATACTGGGGCAGCAATCACTGCAATTCAATACATAAATAAAAATCATAAGCAATCCCGGAACAGAGATCTGCAAAGATCAAATAAGATTCTACATGGAGCTAGGAACAATACATTGGATGTTTGTGGCCAGTTCCTTGGAAACCTGGAGAAAGGACAGAAAAGTCTTCCACCAATAATATATGTAATACAAAGACTGACAGCTCCCTCAACTGGGTTGCCAGCAATACAAGGACTACACCTAATAGAGAAACTGGAATGCACCAATGGCAAAAAGCAAGTGCAGGGGATGAGCACAACAATCCATATGGTGGCCCAGTCTGAGTAGGCAAATTCAGACCTCAGCAGAGGGTTGCAAGGTATGTAACAAGGAAGAACAATCACTAGAACCATTACTGTCTACAAAGTTCTCTAACAGATCTTTGCAGCGGGTAGCAGCAGATTTTTTTTTTTCTGGAAAGGTCATACGTACATTATTGTAGTCTATTACTTCTCCAGATATATTGACGTGATTATACTTACACAAACTTCCTCAGCACAGGTCATACAGAAACTGAAGTCAATATTTACAAGACAACATTCTGAAACATGGGGTTACCATCCATCCGTATTTCCTCGGACATGTCTGGCTTTTGATTCTCTAAATAGCCGTCCGGGAGGAATTGGTAACAAGGTTAAAATGTCCGGGGGGGTTTTCCTCCCTCGCCTCCCTCCTTCCCTTCCATGCAGAGTGCAGCTGCTGATTGGGCAGCTGGGCCGATTGAGCCGCTCCCATTGGCCTCCAGCAGCCAGAGCCCTCCCCTGCTCCCCCCTTCCTCTGTCTGCAGCCCTGTGTAACACACAAACCGACCCACCGGGCAGCGTGTTTTGCCTACACGTAGAGCCAGAATGGTAAGGGGAGTCCGGGGAGGGGGGCAGTCAGGGAGCGGGGGAGTGTTGGATGGGTCCCCGGCCTCCACCTGCCACCCCCCCTCCGCATGTCCCCCCCCCGTGAGCCCCCTTCCTCCCTGCCTGCCTCTCCTTTGCGTGCTTGTACTGCCAGAGCCAGCAGCAACTGCTGTCTGCTGCCCCTGGGTCCTAGCGTCCCCCTTTCACTAATGGGAAGGCAGGCTGCCCTTCCACCCTAGCCCTGAGCCTCTCCAACGCCCCAAACCCCTCATCCCCCCGCACCCTAATCCTCTGCCCCAGCCCTGAGCCTCCTCCTGCATCATGAACCCCTCATCCCCAGCCAGAGCCCTCATCCCCCCACACCTGAATCCTCTGCTCCATCCCTGAGCCCCCTCCTGCATCATGCACCCCTCATCCTCAGACCCACAGCCCTCACCCCTGCATCCCCTCCTATCCTCAAACCCTCTCCCCCTTCCCACACACCCCCTCCTTCCCTCAAACTTCCTCCCAAAGCCTGCACCCCCTCCCTTTGCACCACCTCCCACCCCCAAACTCTATCCCAGAGCCTGCACCTCTCCTGCACCCTAATCCCCAGTCCAGGACCTGCACCCCAGACCTCCTCCCCCCACCCAATCCCCCTCCCAGAGCCTTAGGCAGGTGGGGGGGGGGTTCTGGGCACCACCAAAATTTCTACAACCCTGCCACCCATGCGAGTGGATAAGGGTCGGGGCAGTCAGGGGACAGGTAGGGCCCTAGGGGGGCAGTTAGGGTGGGGGGTTCTCAGCAGGGGGCAGTCAGGGGACAAGAAGCGGGGGGGGGTTGGTTCGTGAGGGGGGCAGTCAGGGGGGTGGGAGGG